CTTTACTTTAGTGTGCCTTTAACATTGTATCTTTGTTCACTATTATTACGGCAGCCACAGAAGATGTTGACAGACTGTCATTTATGCGTGGTTTCTCAATAGTCACTCACACAGAGCTCATTCCCAAGGTACCAAGCGACTGCCATGAGATGAGGCCCTCATCTGCAACTGATATGTGCCTGTCCAGTGGCCTTTAATTTAGTCAAATATGGTTTGACCATTTAGTTGGCATTTATTTATTAATTGCAAGAGATCTGCAAGCTTACACCGGCCTTGTGCATATTAGTCAGGTACGATTTTCTTTGCTCGTGATTTTAGAACAAAAAAGGGCTATGATGTGGTTTTTTCTGGAGCTCATGTTGTGAAGTGATTAAGCGACAGTAGCGAAATCAAACAGAAATTGTTATAGTACATTCATTCAACAAAGAGAGAAAGATCTGAGCACTTCCGATGCACTGGAAAGTGAACAATTCGCTGTGAATTGTGAAGAATAATAATTCAAATGCAACACTATTCCAACGCTTCATCCTATAACACAACACTGTGTCTTGCTGCCACTGATTTTCTACTTGCCCATTTACACACGGCAATACACAATGAATTGTGCCTTAGAAATGCATTTAGGCCTATTTACTAAGAAGCTAGAAGAAAGCATACTACATTTATTAAAGGTTTAATCAATCACTCACAGACCTCAACGAATTTGACAAAACCAGTCTAGCATTTTTCCTTTGCGTATTTGCCTCCCTGGTTTGCTAGAGTATAAGGCAATAAAAAAAAGGCATTTCCATTTGCATGAAATAGCATATCATGCTTTCGAGAAGACCACCAAAAAGAAACACTGCTGCAGCAGAATGAGGGGTTGGAAAGGTTTCCAAAGCGAATAATCGAAACGTTCCAGAAACTGCGACAGGTGTTTCAAGGACTCAAAGCGACACACAAGGTTGCAATTCCTTTATACACTAAAGTTTCCAAAAATGACTAATTTTACTACATAAAATTAAATACATCGATATGACAATTATAACAAACATGTCTAGTGTGCATTATTTACTTTAGCTTCACGTTTTGGGAAAAGGGGAAAAGCAGCACCGACAAGCAATATGTATCTCTCATTCATTCGTTCGTGGTTTGACCCCGTGTAACTTTTTTTTTCCCCCTGTGCAGCTTTGAAAAATGAAACCACATGCACGCACACCAAATTACTGTTTCTGAAATGGGGAGTTTGTTAGGTGAACGGCGACCTTTCATAATAGAAAGGCTGCAGTGCCGATTGCGAAAGCGTTGTTTGGGAAATTCAAGGACATTAAAGAACGGGAATAATTTACAGGAATTTCAAGAGCCTTGAAAACACCTTTTAAATGCAAGGTCTTTCAAGGATTTCAAGGGCCTGTACGCACCCTGGCCAGAACTGAGGGACGAAAACCGCTGACTGAAACTCTCACATTGTTAACTCTTTAATTCAGAACTGCCACACCTCAAAAAGTCTACACTTCCTCAAAGTCAATTTTACACAACTAATAAAACAAAGCCAGTTAGCAAAAAAAAAAAAAAAACCTTGACTACGACATCGAACTTGCTTCACTTCTAAATGTTCCACAATAGAGAATATTCTGAAACATAAACATAAACCAGAAGGTAAAACTTGAGAGTAATTCTCTATATCTACTCCCACTCGGGCACTTGATGCACTGTTTAGGATCAGCTATTACACCACACCTATTTAACTAGTCGAAAGGATGTGGTGGTGTGCAGTTCCCTTTAAAAAAAAAAAAAGCAGCAGAATTGCTGCGATGAATCAAGGAGCACACATATGAAAAAAAAAGGCAAGAAAACAGAAAGGGTGCAAAGTGTCATAATCAGATAGGTTCCACTATTATGAACTAGGCAAACTAGGTTCCATTATGATGAACTAATGTGCAACACATTAAAATGTATGATGAAGATACCTTAGAAAACGTCAAGGGCAATATTTTACAAACACAGAAGCACAGTCAATCCTATCGACCTCCAAATAAACAACAACACTTAAAGATACCTTATTCTAGAATAATAGCAACTTCAGAAGGCTCAGAAAAAATGTGCACGCTTTCTTGTCTGAACACAAAATCAGGTGATGCTTCAAATCGAACATAGAGGCAGCATGTGTGTGACATGAAATATAGCGACTGGTTCTAAAAAATTAACACATCATGAAATGCATCTTCTTAGGCTCTGGTTAACAAAAAGTTTGTTGGCATTTGCCTGAAGTAATAATAAGTCCAAGGAGCATTCTTTCCGAAAATTTGACAAGTAGCTGCCATGAGACATGAAAACATCCTGGAAGCAACACAGCTGACCAGAAGAATGTAAGAACATGTGTGCACTTGTTCGAAAATCATGAGTAATCTCCCTGCTACAACTAAAGAGTTGTAGAAATATAGACATTTGAGATCACTGTTATTGTTACACCATGACACAAAGCACACCTCTGTGAAGAATGACAGGAATAAGCAAAAAAATCATCAAGTGACTTATTCTCATGCTACAGTAATGACTGAATTCTAAGCATTAACAAACCAGTATTTCAGAAATCACTTAATGCAACGCACCTTTGCAGTATGCACAAAGACACGAATTAGAGCACATAATCACTTGCACGAGCCACAAACACAGTCCAATGCACACCTACAGAAGCGAGTCTTCAACATTTAACAACACAACCACTAAGTTTTGCATATTAACGGCACGTGTCCTGGAGTTACGCGCGTACTTTATGTCGTTCAAGCAGCACAGTTGCAGGTTTCCCCGAGGCATGAACGATGTAGTCTTCACCTTAGCACTTTTGGCAACGCACTTGAAGCCACAGAACAAGACGTCTCCTAAGTCGTTTTCTTTGCGATTCACACGTGTGCACTTTGAGGTGAGTGTTGGCTGCACTTGTGAATTTTGTTGAAGTGGCGTGTAAGCTCACCTTTCCATGCAGAATTCCAGGGACAGAGGTGGCACTGGTAAGGTCTCTCACCGGTGTGGGTGCGACTGTGCGTTACCATGTGGGACTTCTGACTGAAGGTTTTGCCGCACTGGTCACATATGAATGGGCGCTCGCCTGTGTGTGTTATTCGGTGTACTGACATATGAGTGCGTTTCATTGTAACATAGCCACAATCGGGACACTTCCACAGAAATCTTATCTTGCGAGGGCCCAATCTGGCTGGCTGACCCGGGCGACGGAGCAAAAAGTCTGCAAAAGTCAAAAATATGTATTTTCATCAGGTCAGAGTTAGTCTTGCAGGGTGAGATAGAATAGATAGAAAGTGTAACTACTGCACAGTGGGTCAAGATTATGGCCACAGTGAAAAATGGAAAAAATTGCAGGACACATTGAAATTTTCAAGTGTGTTTGGCAAAAAGCCTCTGGCCATTCAACTGACTATGCCATGTCTTTCTTTCCCACAATTAATGCAATGCCCACAAATGAACAGTGTATGTTCTTTTTTTTAAATTCTTAGCCCAAATCGCAGCGTGATGCGAGACTAAATTGCCTGCACTTCACATGCATACATATGTTAACGTTTTATGCGCCGAGCTGACGCCATCTGTGTTCCAGCTCTCATAAGGCTCCCTTATCCTCCTGCGTGAGGGGGAAACGCCAAGGCTAGGGCCATGCCTGAGAGCTGGACACCAGACACCACGAGTATAAGACATTGAAGGGTTTCACCTTCAGACAAAGCAACATCCTATGCAACAAATGACACAAGGTGAACAACAGGTACTAAACATGGAACTAAATCCTGAAACGGAAAGCACAACACACATAATCTGTAATAAATGTAATCAAAGCACTTCATAAATGCCTGCACATAGGGTCCTCTGATGAGGTAAATTTTGAAATGGTTAGTACGGCTAATGTTCCTTATATGACAGCACAAGGCATTCGGAATGACAGTGTCCACGCCTTTATGCCCTCTAAAAAAATTGGAGCACGCTTGAGCTTCACTTTCAGGAGCAGATCGAGAGGGCGTAATCGGGCTTCATACGCATTGCCTTGTGAAATGCTGGCCTTCCTCAATTCTCGGTGGATGTCTAAAGTGTACCGTAGGGAAACTAATGACTGTGTGCATAACATGGACTGTTTCAAAGTATTATAGAATTCCTATTGCAAGCACATTTGACAAGTGCCCACTATGCCATAATTATTCCTTTTGGAAATCAGCAAAGGCCCCACTATGTGTCCATAGGGAAACACCAGAATGCAACGTGCAGCTGTTTACATTGTTTCCAATTATGCAGCTGATGATGATTAAATATGTCTGAGCACTCTTTAATAAGTGGGCTTTTAACACATCCACTCCACGCTCATTTCACTTGTTTTGATGTCTGGCGCAAATCTACGCTTTTGCCATGCAATATATTATGTGTTAAAGAGTGTCCTTTCAATGCGTCTATTATTCTAGTATTTATACAAAGCAGTTTTATCAAATATTCTGGCTCTGCAGTATAATACCTGTGTGCTACACAGATTGCCTGTGTCCAATCTTAATTTTGGCAAGGGTAATTTTATCACTTATAATATTTGAATCTTTTCTGGTTTTTCTGTCTCAGAGAAGATCATTTCTCACTCACAATAACGCCCATGTCATCACCATCGCTGAAATTTTTGCGAATTGAGCTATTTAACACTCACATGTTAATCCAAGCCCACACGGGCAAGTTTGGATCCATAAAGTGTACTATACCAGTTCATTTAACCTGCAAGATCGTAGACCATGTAGTCTGAAACATACCTCGTTTGTGTTTGAGGAAAGGGCAAAGATTAATAGCACACAGGTACCGACAAAATCGTGCCACCATTTACACACCAACACAATTTTCCTGTCATTAGTATTTCTTGAATTACAAAAGTAGTTGAGCCTGGCAACTTGGTAGAACTGTACAAATATCTTTATATTAGTGCAGCTCTTCAAAACCAATGAAAAACATGTTGCAGGGGCACAAAGCGTCCAAATACGGAAAGGTTCCTAGAAGATGCGGCAATCTTCTGTGTCCATGTTTTCCATAGGGCACCTATACTTGTGCACATACTTGTCCCCAGCAGAATGCCTACATTCCACAGACCAGATCATTGTGCACAAATTTTAGCATCTCAACAAAAATAGTATTGAGGCCGTGGGGGGAACTGTGGTGCGGCAATATCAGTAGACTCGTTCACTAAGGTATGAAGATCTAAAGTTGTTTTCAGCACTGGTTTACTCTGCTCCTTTGATGCTCTCTCCCATGCACTGGCCAGCAGAATGGCTGAGGCCTCTGTAATGAATGAAAGAGGGCACGGCATAAAGATTTCAGCTCAAAAAAGCAGCAATGGAAAGGTGGAGAACACGCATGATAAAGAAATAAAGCATATGTTATGAGCTAACTCATCGAGTATATCATTAAAGCTTGTAGCTATTATACTTTACAAACTACCAAACCTGTAATGCTTGTTATGGTTCTCCGTTGCTAAGCAGAAGGTCTGTAGTTCATGGCTTGCGAGACCTCTGTGGGAAGAAAACTCAAAGAAGATTGTGCATTTAGACTTTCGTAGATGTTAGCGGAATCCTACACTTTTAAACTTAATCTACTGCCTTTGATAACCCAGCGACATACCAGTCACGTTAAAGGGACACGTAACGTCTATTGACAATTTACGTCAGTGTGAAAGCTCCAATGGACCGTAACCTCCGTAACCTCCAATGGAAATTGTTGGATTGTAATGGCTGTTGACCACCTCACTAGTTATGCGGAAACAACCTCACTGCTCGCCGGTACAGCCACTGAAGTAGCCGATTTTTTTCTGAGTAACATATTTTTACGCCATGAAGCTCCACGTGTTCTGCTCAGCGACCGCGGCAAGGTCTTCATTTCCTCTATTGCTGCTGAGGTTCTACGCGCCGCCAACACCATCCACAAGACAACTTCTACTTATTATCCACAAACAAATGGCTTGATGGAACGCTTTCATTGTACCCTCTCAGACATGATTGCCATGTACATTAACCCTGGCCACACGAACTGGAATGCCATTTCGCCACGTTCGCCTACAATACGGCTACGCAATGCACCACTCGCTTTTTTTCTTATTTTCTGGTCCATGGCCGCTCTCCAAGTGTTACTCTGGACGCCTCCTTCCTTTCGGCTCTCTACCTCAGCAGGCCCTTAATCCGCACAATTTTTGTCTCGCCTCGAGCACTACCGTCATCTGGCCCTAATCAACACCGGCATCATTAGGAAGCTCGCAAGTCTCGCTACAACTCAACTCACCGTGCTGTCACCTTTTCTCCAGGAGACGAAGTTCTTCTCTGGATTCCCGTGCGTGTGCCCGGCTTATGTGGAAAATTCCTCGATCGTTTTATAGGACTTTATAGGCTCATTGAACAAACGTCCCCCGTTAATTGCCGTATCTTACCACTTAAAGCTCCCATGACCACCGTTGCCGAGGGACAGAAATTGTGCACCTTTCTCGACTGAAACTGTATACCCGATATATTGTCTCTCACATGGCTAGGAGGCTGCTTCCAGCATGACAGGGAATTAATGTGAGAGCAGTCACCGACTCTTCTTTATCAATTGGACATGTCATCATCATTTGTATAATTTCCTCATCTGTAGATGTGATCATCAGTGTGTGCCAGCTCGAGCACGTCTTGAATAAAACTCTTCCTCATAACGGTTTCAGTCTTAAAATAAGCAGTGTCATTACTCCATCACATACAACACACATAATATGACAGGCACTGGCTTTTGCAAAAAAGGACATCAAGTGGATTTTCACAAATTATAGTAATTACTCACTCGTCCTGAGCATAAACAAACCAGTTCTTCACAAATTACTTGATGCAATATAGAACTTTGCAGTATTCACAAACACATGAACAGGAGCACTTAATTACTTGCACGTGCCACACCTTCACCACTATGTATAACCAAAGGAGCTTGTCTTCAGTATTCACCATGACATCCGATCGGTTTTGTGTACTGCCTGTAAATGTTCCAGTCATGCATACACTTCATGCCACTGAAGCAGCCCAGTTGCCTATTCCACAGGGGCATGGACCAAGTAGCCCCAACCTTAGTACTTCTCGCACCACACTTGAAAACCACAGAATGAGAAGCACACACCTAGGGCTTTCTCAGCCCTTTCTTTCACAGTTCACATAGGTGCCCTTTTACGTGAATGTTGCCTGACCTTATATGAGCCTCCAAGTGGCGCCTCAGCTCACAACTCCTTGCATAATTCCAGGGACAGAGGTGGCACTGGTAAGGTCTCTCGCCAGTGAGAATGCGAATGTGTGCGACCAAATTGAACTTCTGATTGAAGGCTTTGCCGCAGGAGTTGCACTTGAATGGGCGCTCGCTTGTATGAATAATTTGGTGTCTCTGTTGAGCACATCTGTTCCTCGCAGTATAGCCGCACACTTGACACTTGAACACGTGCTCTTTTGTGGGAGATCCCAGATGAGGTGACCAGTCAGGGCGATAGCATACAGTAGCAAAGTCTGCGTTATGCAAAATGGCAATTTTTCTTAGGAAACGGCAATACTATTACCGAAGGAAGGCCAGCTAGTACGACTACTCTACACTGGGGTCGCAGGATGGTGACAGTTAAAGGTGAGGAAAGGTAGAATTACGACAAAAATATTCACAAAATGGCCTGAAAAAAAGAAAGAACTCTGGTAACCTGTGTTGCAGTTACTTGAAAAGGAATGCTGGGGGTGCATCCAAATTTCTATATGACCAAACAAGCGTAGCATAATCCTTTTCATCGATGAAGTTAGTTCTGTAGTATTTAGTAGGATTAACATTGAATCTTTGCATGATTTTGTTTGGGCAGTCACACGGAAAGTTGCCCAAGTTTCACTTTTATGCCAGGTTTTTCAATAGACACTCAGAAAAAGCTGACACTGGCAAATGAGAGTTGGCATGAGAATACAAGCCATTGAGGTGCAGGGATGGGATGAGGCGCTCATATGCTAATGATTGATGGCTGTATTGTGGGATTCAGGGAATACCCAGTGAAATATTGGGGGATCCTTAAACTCTGCCTTTAAGAGATGAGAGATATACACGATAGCCATATTCTGTCTCAGCGTACTGAGTTCAAAGTGGCTTGTGTCGATGAAGCTTTCACATACGACTGCTTGCTCTTTAAAGGGTAGCATGCGTTAAACCACGGGAAATTCTGCGCCTAAAATTTTTTCGAACTTTCTGCGCACCCACTATGTGGCCTCAAGGAAAAAGGCACAGTAAAGTGCGTGTGTTTCGTAGTGGGTGGCCAACCTTAAACCACGAAGTGATGATAATCCCATGTTCTGACGTCTGATCGCAATGTACGCTTGTACCACACATTACTACTGCGATATTACATGTTTGCATTGTGAAGCCTATATACAGAACGCGTGAGTTTTTAAAGCATGCAAGTTATTTTCACGGCATCTTCAAGCAGAGGATGTTATTTTCACTGTATTTCCAAACAGATGTGTGGCTTTGTGGTAGAGTACCTGCTTGCCACACAAATGACAGGTTCGATCTTCACACGAATGGAGAATTTCTTTTGTTATTCATTTTATTTGCATATTTCTCAATTTTTCATTCACACAAAATTATGATGATGCTTCGCTCACAACCACCGACGCCGACGCTGGAATTTCTGTGAAACGAGCTCTTTAACCCTGTCATGCTAAAATGTGGGCGATGTTTCCCGAGTAATCTGCGAGACCACAAAGCTAGCACTTTCCTCATGAATAATTTTAGCACTGCACATGCACCAACACAAGCACTTGTTTCTCAGTTTGCAATGTTAGAGCAAAAGAATTCTGTTGATCTTGTGTCTTGATACGAATTCTTTGCTAACACTGGAGCTCACATTGGGAAGCAGTTAATGTACAACTGGGAAATCAAGCAGAAATCATTATCGCACATACATCCAGCAACTACTGAAATACCGGAGCACTTCGGACGCAGCGGAAAGTGAATTCGCAGTGAAGAATGAAGCACAATGATTTAAACACACGTGAAAAATTTGCACAAACAAGAAGGAGCACAAAAAGAGAAGGACAAAAAATGAGTGCTGTCTAACTACTGGTTTATTGAAACGAAAATGAAATGCATACGGGAACTAAATTTTTGTTCCAAAAAACTTCAGTCATTAGACAGCGCTCATAATGCATCCTTCTCTACTTGTGCTCAGTCTTATTTGCACCGATTTTTTTTACAACATGCATCGAATTCAACTCGCCCACCTGTCCACCTTACTGCGACTCAAACATTACACAACGGAAAAAGAGGCAACCTCATGTCTGCCGCGTTTTCCGGTATCACAACACTGCGTCTCGTCGCAACCAGTTTTTAATTCTGTGTTTCCCACAATACACAACAAATGAATTTTTAAAATGCATTTATTCAAAACTTTTGTCTAAGAGAAAAATAATAGAGCACAGTCTGCTTCTATTAATGGTTCGACCAATCACTCAAACAGCATGACATAACTGAGAAAAGAAGCCTTGCATTTTTCCTTCGTTTCTTTCGCCATTTGGTTGGTTAGTGCATTAAGCAATACTAACATTGCATTTCCATTTTCTGGGAATAGGTTGTTACAGCTTCTGAGCACACCACCTTAAGAAGACAGTGCTATTTCACAAACAAGAAAGGAAAACCAATGCATTATGGCACACTGTCTGCGGCATGGAATTTGCTGCATTATCAAAGGTTCTGCAAAGAGGGACATTCTGAAATGCCAGGAAGGCAGCACTGGGAGTAATTCGCTATATCTATCCATGCTATGCCACATGATGCATTGTTCCCTTTCGGGATGGGCTATTACATTGATGTAGTATTGTGCGGCAAACGCTGGGCACGGCGCTGAAGCGCCGGCCGACACGACGTACGCAGCAGCCGGTGGCCAAGCAGGAACTCTTTTATTATATACAATGCCGTGCATATATACACAGCGTAGTGCCCCCCGAAGGCGAAATACTTTACATGAAACCGAAACTGGCAACCACAAAACTGAAACACACCATAATTGACGCTTCTTATAAACCAGTCAAAAGTGTGTGTGAATATGTGCATCTCTCCAAGCAGAGAAATGGAGCAGAATTACAATGATGAATGAGAAAGTGCACGCATATAGGAGCAGCAAGAAAATAAGAAGGGAGCCAAGTGTCACATTGAAATGGGTTCCACTGAGTTCTGCCCACAGCATTCTATAATGAACTAAGGAGTAGCTCCGTCAACACATAAATACAAATGTTATGAAGATAGGTGAAGAAGCATTAAAGGAAGAGCTTTGCTAACAAAAGACTACAGCAAATCCTAATAACCTCCCATGAAACAACAATGCTCAAAGCTGGCTGAGCATCCAATAAGTGTAATATGGCAAGGCACGTGAAAAATGCCCACACTTCCTCAACACTTGACCAGGAGACGGCTGAAACCCAGCAAAGAGACAGCATGCGTGGGACATGCAATATAGCAACTGGTACTCAACAAATGACACACAATTAAATACTTCATTTTTGGCTCAATTTAAGAAAAGGACATTGGTTATAGTTATGACAATGGTAAGTCCAAGAATTGGAGATCAGCCTGGCATTACACACAAAGACAGCCTGGAAGCTGCTCAGCTGAGCAGAAGAAAGTTAACAAAAGCACATGCTTGCTCATTAAGGAGATCTCACTGCTACAAGTCAGGAACTGCAGAACTACAGAGTGTTTCTGTTTTGATATTAACATTAAGGCTGGGCCATTGCACAAAAACATATCAGTGAAAAGCAATTGGTGTTCCCTTTTGCAAGAAACGCTGTGCCTTTTTATCAAACCACAGTAATGACTCATTCCTAAAGATCAACAAACAGCTCCTTCACCTATTCCCGGATGCAATGCAACATCACAGGATGCATAAACACACGAATAAGAGCACATATCACTTCCACCTTCCCCACACTCAGCCTAATGTGTACCTAATGGAACAAGTCCACAACATTTATCACAACATCCAATAAGTTTGGTGAACATAGTTCCAAACCTCACTGGGGCATGGACAAAGTATCGCCGACCTTGGTACTTCTGGCACAGCACTTGAACCTAGAGCATGAGACGCACACACCACGTGCCTCCTTAGCCTCTTCCTTCACAGTTCACATATGTGCACCCTCAGGTGAATGTTTTCTCTGCTTGTGAGTTTCCAAGTGGCGCATAAGCTCTTTCTTCCATGCAGAATTCCAGGGACAGAGGTGGCACTGGTAAGGTCTTTCGCCAGTGTGGATGCGAATGTGCGTGCTTAAGTTGAACTTCTTATTGAAGGTTTTTCCGCAGTACTCGCATTTGAATGGACGCTCGCCTGTATGTATCATATGGTGTCTCCGTATGGCTGATTTGTGCTTTGCAGTATAGCCACACACATAACATATGAACACACGCTCTTTTGTCGAAGATCTCAGACGAGCTGGCTGGTCAGAGTGATGATGAATAGCAGCAAAGCCTGCGCAATCCAAAATGATAAATCTGTAATAAACAACACAGTTGTGATTGAAGGAAAAAATAAAGAGCCCAGCTAGTAAAATTACTTTACACTGGTTTCAAAGGTTAGCAAGAGTGCAAAGTGAGAAAATGATCAACTCTTATAACCCGCATTAAAGTTTATAAGTGACAAAAAACAAGTTGAATGCACCAGAACTTCCTGATATATGGCTAAACATGTGTATCACAATTATTTGCCTTGAAGGAGTCAATGCTGAAGTAGTCAGTACGATTAACATTGTATCAAATTCTGGCACCGACGACTCCATTTTCGATAGAGGCAGGTATGCCTGAGGCCCATGTGTTTAGATGCACATTAAAAAACCCTTAGGTGGACGAAATTTCCAGAGCCCTCCACTAAGGCGTCTCTCAAACCTTGGTTTTGGGACGTTACACCCCATAAATTATTATTACATGATTAAGGACACTAAAGGCAACTATTAAGTCAACTTTTATTGCTGAAATAGCCGTCCAGAAACGTCGTAGTGTTACTTTTCTCGCCGAAGCCACAGCAGCAACAACGGACATTGAACACTTTCCTGCCATGGCTTGCGAGGTGGCAGACAAGATTGATTCAACTGGGCCCGACTAGATGGCAAAATTCGTCTAGTTTAAGTAGGCGAAAATTGAACTTTCGAACCGCTCGCGTTATTTCCCATAGTAACCTCCGGCGGTTCATTTTTCCAAGAATAAAACAGACATGAACAAGCAGCATTTTATTATGCCTCTTGATGCTCGGAAGGTTCTTTATTTAGTGTGACGAGTGACAAATTGTAGGTGGTACCTCTGACGTAATCAGGATCATTTTGCAAATGTTCAATCGTAGAGCATGTGTTCTCTATATTCACCTGAATATCTAGTAAGTAGGGCACCGCTGTTCACAATACTGTCGTTTTATAAGTTGTCATACATTCAGCTTCAATTGTTTTTTACTTTAGTGTCCCTTTAACATTTTATCTTTGTTCACTATTATTACGGCAGCCACAGAAGATGTTGACAGACTGTCATTTATGCGAGGTTTCTCAATAGTCACTCACACAGAGCTCATGTCCAAGATACTAAGCGACTGCCATGTGATGAGGCCCTCATGTGCAACTGATAGGTGCCTGTTCAGTGGCCTTTAATGTAGTCAAACATACTTTGATAATTTAGTTGGCGTTTATTGAATAATTGCAAGAGATCTGCAAGCTTGCACCTGCCTTGTGTATGTTAGTCAGGTACGATTTTCTTTGCTAGTGATTTTAAAACAAAAAAGGGCTATGATGTGGTTTTTTTTGGAGCTCATGTTGTGAAGTGATTAGGCGGCAGTAGCAAAATCAAACAGAAATCGTTATAGTACATTCATTCAACAAAGAGAGAGCATTTCCGATGTATCTGAGCATTTTCGATGCACTGGAAAGTGAACAATTCGCCGTGAATTATGAAGGATAATAATTCAAATGCAACACTATTCAAATGCTTCATCCTATATTACAACACTGTGTCTTGCTGCTACTGATTTTCTACTCGCCCATTTACTTACAGCAATACACAATTAATTACGCCTTAGAAATGCATTTAGGCCTATTTCCAAAGAAGAAGCTAGAAGAATGCATACTACATCTATTAATGGTTTAATCAATCATTCACAGACCTCAACGAATTTGACAAAACCAGTCTAGCATTTTTTGTTTGCGTACTTGCCTCCCTGGTTTGCTAGATGCAATAAAAAAAAGGCATTTCCATTTGCATGAAATAGCATATCATGCTTATGAGAACACCACCAATAAGAAACACTGCTGCAGCAGAACCAGGGGTTGCAAAGGTTTCCAAAGCGAATATTCAAAACGTTCCAGAAACTGCGACAGGGTGTTTCAAGGACTCAAAGAGACACACAAGGTTGCAATTCCTTTATACTCTAAAGTTGCCAAAAATGACTAATTTTACTACATTAAATTAAATACATCGATATGACAATTATAACAAACATGTCTAGTCTGCATTATTTACTTTAGCTTCACGTTTTTGGAAATGTGGAAAAGCAGCACCGACAAGCAATACGTATCTCTCATTCACTCGTTCGTGGTTTGACCCCGTGTAAATTTTTTTTTTCCCCTGTGCAGCTTTGCAAAATGAAACCACATGCACTCACACCAAATTACTGTTTCTGAAATGGGGAGTTTGTGAGGTGAACGGCGACCTTTCATAATAGGAAGGCTGCAGTACCGATTGCGAAAGCGTTGTTTGGGAAATTCAAGGACATTAAAGAACGGGAATAATTTACAGGGATTTCAAGAGCCTTGAAAACACACTTTTCGAATGCAAGGTCTTTCAAGGATTTCAAGGGCCTGTACGCACCCTGGCCAGAACTGAGGGACGAAAACCACTGACCGACACTCTCACATTGTTAACTCTTTAATTCAGAACTGCCACACCTCAAAAAGTCCACTGTTCCTCAAAGTCAATTTTTCAACACTAATAAAACAAAAAAGCCAGTTAGCAAAAAAAAAACCTTGACTACGACATCGAACTAAATGTTCTACAATAGAGAATATTCTGAAACATAAACATAAACCAGAACGTAAAACTTGAGAGTAATTCTGTATGTCCACTCACTCGGGCACTTGACGCATTGTTTGGGATGAGCTATTACACCTACACTTATTTAACTAGTCGAAAGGATGTGGTGATGTGCAGTTCCCTTTAAGAAAAAAAAAAAAACGGAGCAGAATTGCTGCGATGAATGAGAAAGCACTCATATGAAAAAAAAGGCAAGAAAACAAAAACGGAGCAAAGTGTAATAATCAAATAGGTTCTACTATGATAAACTAGGTTCCATTATGATGAACTAATAAGCTCCACATTAAAACGTATGATAAAGATACTTTAGGAAACGTCAAGGGATATTTTACTAACGCAGAAGCACAGTCAATCCTAACGACCTCCAAATAAACAACAACACCTAAATATAGCTTATTCTGGAATAAGAGCAACTTCGCGAGGCTCAGGGAAAATGTGCACGCTTTCTTGTCTGAACACAAAACCAGTTGATGCTTCAAATTGAACATAGAGGCAGCATGTGTGCGACATGGAATATAGCAATTGGTTCGAAAAAATTATGACATCATGAAATGCATTCTCTTTGGCTTTGGTTAACAAAAAGTTTGTTGGCATTTGCCTGAAGTAATATTAAGTCCAAGGAGCATTCTTTCCGAAAAATGAACAAGTAGCTGCCATGAGACATGAAAACATCCTGGAAGCAACACAGCTGACCAGAAGAATGTAAGAACATGTGTGCACTTGTTGGGAAATTATGAGTAATCTCCCTGCTACAACTGAAGAGTTGTAGAAATATAGACATTTGAGATCATTGTTATTGTTACACCATGACACAAAGCACACCTCTGTGAAGAATAACAGGAACAAGCAAAAAAATCATCAAGTGACTTATTCTAATGCTGCAGTAATGGCTGAATCCTAAGCGTTAACAAACCAGTATTTCAGAAATCACTTAATGCAACGCACCTTTGCAGTATGTACAAAGACACGAATTAGAGCACATAATCACTTGCACGAGCCACAAACACAGTCCAATGCACACCTACAGAAGCGAGTCTTCAACATTTAACAACACAACCACTAAGTTTTGCATATTAACGGCACGTGTCCTGGAGTTACACACGTCCTTTATGTCGTTCAAGCAGCACAGTTGCAGGTTTCCCCGAGGCATGAACGATGTAGTCTTCACCTTAGCACTTTTGGCAACGCACTTGAAGCCACAGAACAAGACGTCTCCTAAGTCGTTTTCTTTGCGATTCACACGTGTGCACTTTGAGGTGAGTGTTGGCTGCACTTGTGAATGTTGTTCAAGTGGCGTGTAAGGTCACCTTTCCATGCAGAATTCCAGGGACAGAGATGGCACTGGTAAGGTCTCTCACCGGTGTGGGTGCGAATGTGCCTGACCTTGTTGTACTTCTGACTGAAGGTTTTGCCGCAGTGGTCACATTGGAATGGGCGCTCGCCTGTGTGTGTTATTCGGCGTGCTGACATATGAGTGCGGTACTTTGTAACATAGCCACAATCGGGACACTTCCACAGGCGTCTTATCCTGCGACGGCCCAAACTTGGCTGGATGACCCGGGCGACGGAGCAAAAAGTCTGCAAAAGTCAAAACAATGCATTTTCATCAGGTCAGAGTTAGTCTTGCAGGGTGAGATAGAATAGATAGAAAGTGTAACTACTGCAGCAGTGGGTCAAGATTATGGACACAGTGAAAAATGGAAAAAATTGCAGGACACATTGAAATTTTCAAGTGTGTTTGGCAAAAAGCCTCTAGCCATTCGACCGACTATGCCATGTCTTTCTTTCCCACAGTCAGTGCAATGCCCAAAAATGAAAAGTGTATGTTCTTTTTTTTTTTATTTATTACCGAAACTCGCAGTGTGATGCGAGACTAATCTGCCTGCACTTCACATGCGTACATATTTTAACGTTCCGTGTGCCGAGCTGACGCCATCTGTGTTCCAACTCTCATAAGGCTCCTTTATCCTCCTGCGTGAGGGGGAGACGCCAAGGCTAGCGCCATGCCTGGGAGCTGGACACCAGACACCACGAGTATAAGACATTAACCTGTATGCCCCCTAAAAGAATTGGAGCACGCTTGAGCTTCGCTTTCAAGAGCAGATCGAGAGGGCGTAATCGGGCTTCATACGCATCGCCTTGTGAAATGCTGGCCTTCCTCCATTCTAGGTGGATGTCTAAACTGTATCGTAGGGAAACTAATGACTGTGTGCATAACATGGACTGTTTCAAAATATTATAAAATTCCTATTGCAAGCACAGTTGTTAAGTGTCCACTATGCCATAATTACTCCTTTTGGAAATCAGCAAAGGCCTCACTATGTGTCCATAGGGCAACACGTGAATGCAATGCACAGCTGTTTACATTGTTTCCAATTATGCAGCTGATGATGATTAATTATGTCTGAGCACTCTGTAATAAGTGGGCTTTTAACACACCAACTCCTCGCTCATTTCACATGTTTTGATGCCTGGCGCGAATCTACGCCTCTGCCATGCAATACATGATGTGTTAAAGAGTCTCCTTTCAATACAGCCATTCATCTAGTATTTATACAAAGCAGTTTTATTCAATATTGTGTCTCTGCAGTATAATACCTGTGTGCTACACAGATTGCCTGTGTCCAATCTTCATTTTGGCAAGGGTAATTTTATCACTTATATTATTTAAATCGTTTCTGGTTTTCTGTCTCAGAGAAGATCATTTTTCACTCACAATGACGCCCATGTCATCACAATAGCTGAAATTTTTGCGAAACGAGCTATTTAACATTCACGTGTTAATCCAAGCCCACACGGGCCAGTTTGGATGCATAAAGTGTACTATACCAGTTCATTTAACCTGCAAGATTGTAGACCATGTAGTCTGAAACATACCTAGTTTGTGTTCGAGGAAAGGGCAAAGATGAATAGAACACAGGTACTGACAAAATCGTGCAACGATTTACACACCAACACAATTTTCCTGTCATCAGTATTTCTTGAATTACAAAAGTAGTTGAGCCTGGCAACTTGGTAGAACTGTACAAATATCTTTATATTAGTGCAGCTCTTCAAAACCAAGAAAAAACATGTTGCAGGGGCACAAAGCGTAATACAGAAAGGCTCTTAGAAAATGCGGCAATCTTCTGTGTCCATGTTTTCCATAAGGCACCTATACTTGTGCACATACTTGTCCCTAGCAGAATGCCTACATTCCACAGACCAGATCATTGTGCACAAATTTTGGCATCTCAACAAAAATAATATTGAGGCCGTGGGAGGAACTGTGGTGCGGCAATATCAGTAGACTCGTTCTTTAGGATGTGAAGATCTAAAGTTGTTTTCTGCACTTGTTTACTCTGCTCCTTTGATGCTCTCTTCCATGCACTGGCCAGCAGAATGGCTGAGGCCTCTGTAATGAATGAAAGAGGGCACAGCATAAAGATTTCAGCTGAATAAAACAGCAATGAAAAGGTGGAGAACACGCATGACAAAGATATAAAGCATATGTTATGAGCTAACACATCAAGCATATCATTAAAGTTTGTAGCTAATCTACTTCACAGACTACCAAACCTGTAATGGTTGTTATGGTTCTCCATTTCTAAGCACAAGGTCTGTAGTTCATGGCTTGCGAGACCTCTGTGGGAAGAAAACTCAAAGAAGATTGTGCATTTAGACTTTCGTAGATGTTAGCGGAATCCTACACTTTTAAACTTAATCTACTGCCTTTGATAACCCAGCGACGTACCAGTCACGTTAAAGGGACACTAAGGTCAAATGACAATTTACGTCAGCGTGAAAGCTCAATTAATGACAACATCTAAAACGACAATATTATCAACAGGAGAAAGCTTAATGAATGACAACATCCAAAACGACAATATTAGCAACAGCAGTGCCTTACGTACCGAGAAATTAAAGTAAATGCATGAGAACACTTGCACTACGCATAAGACATTAGCAAAGTGATCCCAATGACGTGAAAAATACCAGCTTAAAATTAATTCCTAGTAATCAAACTAGGTGCACTAAATAAAGAACCTTTTGTGCATCAAGAGATGTAACAAAATGCTGCTTGTTTGTTTCTGTTTGATTAGGGGAAACAAGAACTGCTGGACGTTACTATAGGGAATGGTGAGATGGTTCAAAGGTTCAATTTTCGCCTTGTTAAACTGGACAGGTCGTGCCATCTAGCGGTGCCCAGTCGAATTAAGCACGCCTGCCCCGTCGCAGCCCATGGCAGGAAACTGTTCAATGGCCATTGTTGCGGCTATGGCTTAAGGTACTTTCGCTCTGCTGCTACAAGTGTTGATGGCCGCACGGTAAAATTGGGCAACGTTGTGCATGGCAACAGTGACGCGACACGTTCCACTTCGGACAGGTAATTTGAAGTGTGCTAAACAGATGCAGACTACTAAAACGTAATTTCATTTCAAAATAAATACTTCCTTGGCACAAAAGCAAAACTACAAAGTTTCTGGACTGCTATTTCAACAATAAACAGTTGACTTAATAGTTACGTTTAGTGTTCCTTTAAATTCGAGTAATATATTGCCGCCCTTTTCCAATATAAAGTCAAACTCATAATGTTTGACATTACTCGTCAAAGACTATGATGTGTGAGAAATAATACTGTGAGGAGTTTTTCATCCTTAAGTGTCTGAAGTATTAGAGATACTTGCTTCAGTCAGAAACACTTTAGTCCTTTACATACATGCAAGTCACAGGTATAAGAGCACTCAACAAGAAATAAGAGTAAAAATGGAATGATCAAACAGGCAGGATTTGTGGGGCTGAAGTCTTAGGTGCAGCTGCCAAAACAAGCTCAGTGCAGTATATCTATTGATCAGCTTCATGGTGCAGTACCTTTTTCAGGGAACTTACATATAGTTGTGAGATGAGGCCCTGTCTCACTTCTTCATCTTCTGTTATGCATTTTCGAGAGGCTTTAACCCATTGAAAATTTTCTTACATTGCTCCCCTAAATGCAAACATCGTTCAAACACAACAAATACATTCCCAACCTCGCGGCTACTCGACGAAACTGCCCCTAGCCTTCTAGAGAAATTTTGGCACCACCCTTTGTCCTATTATTATTGAAGCAGATTTAATCGTCCCGATTAGCAATAGTCGCTGATTAACCCAAATAACGCTGTAGGATCAAATAGCGATCGAAATTTCCCGTCTGACACCGGCATAACCAACGCGCGCACATCATCATGTCAGACCGCAGTCCGCTCACATATCCGACGACTGCGTTTGAGTTGCTTCACAAAGCAGAACCAAATAGGAACTCGTGGAACACAACAGTCACGTGAAAGGCGAGTTCCTACGCAGTGCGCCTATGCGATGCACTAAACGGGAACCAGCAAACGGCAACGACACAGACGCTCTGTCAGACCACAATACGCAGTACTTCCAAGCTGTAGCAGCTGCCACCAGTCAGTACAAGCTTACTGAATTTTCCTCTGACTTGAATCGATGACATACTTTTGTCGTCCTTTTCAAAATTCGAAAGAAAATTTTGCACACGACCGCGTGGCTACAGTGGCTAGATCTAGCCACTGTAGCGTGGCGTAGTTATCACGCAGTCTTCGAATCATCACTCCTTTTCACACCCGTAAAGCTAAGCCAGAGGGCAACAACAATCGAAAGCTGCTTCGTCGACTGTAGGCACACGAAATCAACACTCGCAGGTAAGTAAACAACAAGAAACACTGCACAGATCGAGCAAAATGTGTCATCTTTCAAACTACTCATTCTTTCCCTCCATCAACGCCTCCTCTAGACAGATGCCTGAGGAATGGCCCGCGCTCCCAGCGGAGTTGGCCTTCAGTTTTAAACAAGTTCCACGCAGTGGCGCTCGTGACCAACAGTATTATTTTTTTCTTTTGCCACCCTGGGTGAGGTGTGCGTACATTGAACACGCAAAGTTTTGTAGTAGAGCTTAGACTTTTTTTTTTCGTAGTGCAGAGCTCGAGTTTAGTAATTATCGAGTATAGAGACAATTGGTGTCAGAGAGACATGGTTAAAAAGACTGTAAAGTGTTCAGGATGTGGAGTGGGTTTGAAAGTGGACCCTAGCGTAGAAGCGGATGGAGAAGAGGCTGACTCGAAGTGTAGGCTATGTGAGGTCGAGGAAAAAATGGAGAAAATGATTGTTGTCCAGAGTGAACTGCTGATGAGAATCGCCGAGCTCGAGACTGCGTTAGCGACAGAGCAAAAGAAAACGAGGGCAATGGGAGAAAGACTGAAGTCCGCCAAGGAAGAAAACGAGGGCAATGGGAGAAAGACTGCAGTCCGCCGAGGAAGAAAACGAGGGCAATGGGAGAAAGACAGAAGTCCGCCGAGGAAGCACTAGCGAAGCTGAAAAAAGAAGCGGCCTACGGAGGGAACAGCGGGGAACCGGCAACCAGAGTGGTGGAGAAGGAAGAGCAAGCAAGTTTGGAAAAAACAGGTTCAGCCGATTCAATTATCGCAAGGCCCAGCTTCAGCGAGGTAGTGGTGGCGCTGAGAGGGGACAAAGCAGCCAGCGTCACAGGTGCAAGTAGCCCCTAAGTGCAGGACGCTCCAGCTGAAAAGTCACAACATGTGATAATCGCCGGGGACTCGAATTTAAATCGATGCACAGAAGCCATCAAAGAGAGGGTAAGAGGTGACAAGAGGGTTGCGCTAGGGACGTTCCCAGGATGCAAGCTTGAAGCAGTCAATTATGAGGCAAGCGAGCGCAAAACTCAAAACTACAGCTGATAGACGAAACCTCGTGATAATTTCAGGCGGTTTAAACGACGTCTTAAATGAAGATACAGCAGGACTAGCAACCACACTGGCGAAAGGCGTCGATGACATGCGCGCCACTTTCTTAAGGTACAGGTAGTCAGTATGCACGATAACGGAGCTACCGGTGCGTGATAGCAACCTGCAAAGAGCGGTTGTCAACGCAAACCAAGAGATATGGCTGTTGAGTAGACAGAAAGGCTTTGAGATGGTGGAAATAAACAGAGAGGTGCATAGGTGGGGTGGTTTTCAACGAGACAGAATTCACTTCAATGGGCGGCTAGGTCATGAGGTGGGTTGGCAACTTGCAGGACGCGCAGTAGCGTTTTTGGGGGCAAGCGAGCCCTTCGGGGTGCAGGATAACTAGTAACGAGGAAAACAACCAGGGAGACCCTTCGACAGGTGGTATAGACAGATACGATTCCCAAATGGTACCAATATCTAAGATAGGTAGAGTCCGGGGCATAAATAGACGTAGCCACGAGCGCCGAGCGAATTCAGACATAGGGTATATTAACATGCAGGGTGGTAGGAACAGGCTGAAGTGGGAAGAGATAGAAGAACAGCTAAGGGAAGAGAGGCCGATGGTATACGATTTTGTAGAAACACATCTCAGGAACATGGAACAACCTCCAAACTATCCGGACTACGCGTGGGAATATTGTAATAGAACAGAAGGCAGCAGAAAGGGGGGTGTTATATGGGGCATTCATTCATAAAAGTACAAACTGGCAAAGGGTCAAGCAGGAGTGCAAGGAACATTTATGGCTAAAAGGAAAAGTGGCAGGTCAAATGACACTCCTTGGTTTCGTGTACTTGTGGACGGGAGCAAAGGCCAGAGAGGAAAACCAGGCACTGGTAGAGTGTATATCAAAGGACATTCAGGAGTTAGGAAGAGAGTGCGAGATAATTATACTAGGAGACATGAATGCACACATAGGAGATATAGATGGGTATACCGACCCGACAGGCAAAATAATCATGAATTTGTGTGAAAGGCTTGATTTGATCATTTGCAACAGTACCGAGAAGTGTGAAGGGCAAATAACATGGGAGGTAGGAAGGCTGCAGTCGACGATAGATTATGCACTGATGTCACATAGGATGTATGATAAGCTCAGGGGAATTCACATAGATGAAGGTGGCTCCAGAAGTCTGGGTAGTGATCACAAACGTATCAAGCTAAGTTTTGGAAGTGCATCGAAAGTGGGAAGGAGACAAGATGAGCAACTACAGGAAAATTTTCATTCAGAAAGGCAAATTGAAATCGCCACTAAACAAATTGAGAAAGTAATCACGGAGGATAATAAGACAATGTGGACATACACGAATCTAATTAGACTCTGAGCTAGAGCTTGCTAAGACGCGTGACAAGTCACCCTGGAAAAGAAGACACAAACCCAAAAGTTGGTGGGATGAGGAAGTTAGGAGAGCCATAGCAAAACGTGAGGAAGCCTCCAGGGAACACAGACATGCTAAGCAGTGGGGTGAACCGACTGATGATGTTGAAAGAAAATGGGAAACCTTTCTAAGCTGTAGAAGGGATGCATCCCTTCTGATCAATGAAAAGGTTACAAGAAAGGGAGCTCAGTTCCTGGCAGAAGTACATAAAAAAGATAGAAAGACAGCTGGGAAATTTCGGAACTATCTAAACTCCCTAAGAAATGAGACGAGCCTAGAGCAGAGTTTTATAACTACAGCCCAAGGTGCTAGGCTAGAAGGTGACTAAGCTATTCAATATATAAGAACAAGGGTTACAGGAAAATTTCAACAAAGAAGTACTTTATGCACCACAATAGACAAGGACGAATCAAGTGGTGCAATGGTTCCATTTTCACAACGAGAGTGGGAACGGGCTGAGAAAAGGGTTCCTAGTAGTACATCAACAGGCCCAGATGACATTCCAATTACGCTGACAAAGACATTAGGTCCGAAGTCTAAGCAGGCTTTGAGAGAGGCAGTGAGCAAAATAATAATCGATGGTGAAGTTCCCGATGGATAGAAACTTAGCAGGATGAGCATGATCTATAAAAGAAAGGGGGACAAAGCTGACATAAGCAACTACCGTCCTATAACAGTGACATCAGTGGTCTACAGGCTAGCAATACAGATTATAAAGGAAAGACTGCAGGCATGGATAGAGGATGAGGGGGTGCTGGGGGAACTGGAGAATGGGTTTTGGAAACACAGGAGGTTGGAAGACAATCTGTTCTTACTGACGCAGTGCATCGAAATAGCAGAAAAGGAACACAGGCCCCTGTGGCTAGCATTTTTGGATATCTAGGGAGCATACGATAGCGTGGTTCAAGAGGAATTGTGGGGAATACTGGACACACTAGGCGTGGAACATGTAGTCACTAATCTTTTAAAGGATATCTGTAAAGATAACAAGGCAGTTATAAAGTGGGAAAAACAGGTATCCAAGCCTGCAGAGGATAAAATGGGTGCTTAGGCAGGGGTGTCCCCTGTCACCCTTATTATTCATGATGTAACTACAAGGATTAGAGGCCAAATTAGAGGGAAGTGGACTGGGCTTCAACCTCTCTTTAGTCAAACAAAGAAAACTTATTGATCAGGCCCTACCAGCAATAATGTACGCAGATGATATAGTGCTAATGGCCAACAACAAGGAAGATTTGCAGAGATTGATGGACATCTGCGGTAATGGGGGAGATAGGTTAGATTTTAGATTCAGTAAGGAAAAATCAGCAGTCATGATTTTCAATGACAACGAAGGTAGTGAGCTTAGGATACAGGAGGTCACGCTAGAGATAAGAGGTAAGTACAAATATCTGGGCGTATGGTTAAGCAATGGCACCGAGTACCTGAGGGAACACGAAATATACGTGACGACTAAAGGTAACAGGAATGCAGCAGTGATGAAAAATAGGACACCGTGGAATTACAATAGGTATGATGTTGTGAGAGCAATATGGAAAGAGGTCATGGTTCCTGGGCTGACGTTCGGCAATGCGGTCTTGTGCATGAGACCAGAAGTTCAAGCAAGATTAGAAATTAAGCAACGTGGAATAGGTAGGCTTGCTTTAGGAGCTCACGGGAATACACCAAATCAGGGAATACAAGGTGATATGGTATGGACATCATTTGATAGCAGGGAAGCTAGCAGCAAGATAAAATTTGAGAAGCGATTGAGAGAAATGGGGGAGGAGCGTTGGGCTAGGAAGGTTTTCAGCTACTTGTACATGAAGAATGTTGATACAAAATGAAGGAAGCGAACCAGAAAATCGACTGATGAATACTTAGAAAACAGCAGCTGGCCAAACCAAAAAGAACTATCGGTTAAGAAGAAAGTGAAGGAAACGGAGACTGACATGTGGAGAATGGGCATGATTAAGAAGTCCGCAGTAGAGATCTATCGAACTTTTAAGCAGGAAATTGCCAAGGAAAGGATCTATGATAACATTTTTCATTAGTCTATAAAACAGGTATCCATTGGTAATATTCCATATGTGTCTATCGTGAGGTCATTATTGGCAGCAATATGCTTTTATTTTTCCTTCCAGGAAGAAAAAAAAAACTGATGTTAACGTTTGGTGTCATCGTATACAGTGTTACAGCTTCAATCCTCCCACAGTTCAGACAAGAGCGTAGGATGAAAATCTGGGCGAATTACACGCTTGACACATGTAGCATTTTATTTTCAACAGCAGAGTGTTTAAGCTTCAATTCCAGCCTGGCCGAAGGCCTCTCCGAACTCGGAAGACATGTGTCAAGCTAAGCGGAAACAAGGCATTTCCACACATATATTGTGGCGATGCTGACGCCGACAGGTTAAGAAAACAAGCGTCTTTATTAGGGCGAACTTGTGCCCACGATTCTAAAAACTATGGTCGTCAAGTTCGAGTAGGCCGAGTGGCACAGATCCGACTATCTTCCTCTTCCTCGTTGTTGAACGTGCGAACGCGTGGCGCATGCCAGCCGAGCCGGGTCTTGCTGGTGCTGGTGCCACGATGATTGTGGCGG